AGCCGCCGCCTCCTGCCGCAGTAGTCCTGCGGGCTCCTCGTCGCCGTGCTGGTGCAGCGCGGAGGGCGGGCGGGCCCAGGGCCCAGGCGCCTGTGCCAGCCGAGATCCAGCCAGCGGCGGAAGGCCGGAGCAAACGCCTGTGAGGCTTCCTGATCGTGGGACCGGAGCCGGGAGCAGCGTTTCCCTGCCTTGATAATCCGTCACGGCTTTGAGTTTTCCCCTCGAGCCCTGTAAACGTCTGCATAACGCAGCGTCCTGTGGCAAGGAGGTCTATTGTTAAGTTAGATGGTGTTTGAGAAGTAACTTCCTTTCTTTTTTCTTACTTGATCTCTTCTAACTTCTTCCACCATCCTCTAGTTTCACACTGGATGGGACTGAGAAAGTTGCTGTAGTAGATCTCCGTTCTGTGCTTAAATGTATGCTAGGGGCCTTGTAGCTGTGGTGGCCTGAGGACAAAAGCGAGGCATCTAAGCAGAGACGTTTTTCCTGCAGTGATTGTAGCTGCTCAGATTAAAAAGTAGACGAGTTTTTGTCTTTCTCTTTTCCCTAGGAGATAATGACTTCTTAATCTCTCTTCCTCTCTCTGACATCCCCTCTACTCCACAGGTACCAACTGTCTTTTTTCTCTTAGTTGTTTATCTAAACTTGGAGGAATTTTCTTCAAGTTCTATTTAGCTCTGATATTTATTGCCTCAGTTTCAAACCTGAAGTGTGTTTTGTGCCTGAAAACTTGCCTGTCCTCAGAAATACCTTGGAAATATGTCTTCCAGGCATGTCCTTAAAGTATGTGGGAAGGTTGCGGGTCACCAACAGATGTTCTGTCATTATTCCAAAATGTGATTGTTTAACAAATATGAGTAGAGCACTGCTGTGTTCTGATTCTATAGCATGTCTGTAGTAACACTGTGTAGTCTGTTAACTTCTCATCTTCTTAAAAAAAAAAACAACAAAAAAACCTCTACCCAAAGCCTGTTTCTGAATAGGATTGTTCTTTTTCTAACAAAAGAAGTCAGTGCAAACTTGTAACTGACCTAAGAGTTCACATTGCGTAGGCTAGAACTCCCAAACAATGACTCTGGGACTCCCTGGAAAGGAGGGGTTCTCGAAGCTTAACCCAGGCTATGTTAGCTTTGTAGCATTCGTTTGAAAGTTGACAAGGTGGGTGTGTATTGACAGATGAAAAATGTTGAATGTTATCCATGTCACAAAAGGGTTGGAAGTTACTGACCTAGCATGAGTTTTTGTATTTCCCCCCCAGAATGAATAACATAGAGGGAAATCCCTTTTTATAATTTAAAAAGAAAAAAACCCTCCACTTTGCTACTAAGTTCCATGAGCTGCATAGATCACTCACTGTTAGAAAATCTTGTCTCCTTTCCTCCCATTTCAAAATCATATGTGTGTATAGCTGCAGTTTTACCATTTTCAGTTTCAAGAGCTGCTTGGTTCTTGCTTTTTTTCAGCTTAACTATGGTTTCTGACACAGTTTTCTTTCAGCAAGAAAGGAAAATCGTATCCTACAGATAATTTCATGTGGCTTTGAGATTTTATTTTGTATTCAATTTGCAAAACCCTCATTCATGATATAAAATTAAAAGATATGTTTTGATACTGAAATTTTCCGTAAGCACAATTTTGCAAACGGAGAAAATGTTTATTGTTTACTGTTAGCTTTAGAACATCCAGCTTCAGTAGTTTACTGACTTGCTGGTAGAAGTGACTGTGAAATGGAGCGAGGACACTGACTGCGTAAGATTTTGCTCCTCTCCGGAGTGATTTTTGTTAAATGGAGCTGTATGCTTCTGTTTGCCAGAGCTGTGTCAGTTCTTTTGCAGAGTCTTAGCTGTGCCTCTGCAACTTACTCAGCTGGAAGAAGTTAGAACACTCATGTTGAGTCACCTTCTGTATGATCAAAGTTGAACTAGTTCTTGTTTGCTGGGTTTTTTTTCCAATATATCTTGTGGTCAGTCATAACATGACACCTAATCAGCTGTTTCTCTCCTTCCTTTTTGCAGTGTTATCAACACAATGCTGGTGACATGTGCTGTTTGCTGCTACCTGTTGTAAGTATAAATAATGTCTTGCCCCTTAATCAAGGCACAGTTCTGATGTAATCAAAAGTTCCTTTTTTATATCTTCAAGACATTTAGGAAGAAGCTTTTCAAATGTGTCACAGAGATTTAGACACATGGTATTCTTTGACAGCTCTTAGAATTCTTAATTCTAAAGACCTTCAACCTGCTGAAGAAAACATTTTCCTGGTGGTGGCTGCTGAATTAAAACAAACCTGAATTTCTCTTGTTGTCTTCTGACACATAACTGTTGAATAGTGCTCTGCGTTGACTTGATACTACTTCTTTCCAATTCACTGGCTTAGTTGCTCACAAATACAATGGCAGTTTGTCAATTCTGGAATTTTTCTGATTCACAGTAGAGCGATGACTTTTTGCCTTTTTCATTCTTTATACCCTTACATTTATTTCTAAGGTGATACTAATTTAAACCTACTGATGAGTTTTGCTTTACTTAGTTTCGTTGAATATATTCTCAAAATGTGGTAGAGCAGTGGATGGAAAACCTTATACATGGGGGGTTTTGATGTATGACAAATTATTTTTGTGACAAACTTGTGATGCTTTGATATATTAAGACTTTCATTTTAAATGCATGGTATATTTTGAGGCTGCCTTTTTTCTGTAAGAGAATAGTAGAAATAACAACATGACTTGTTGAGGAACTCCTCATACCATGTTTGTTTTTTTGTTTTTTGTCAAGAGATAAGCCAGCTGTAGCTGGAGTCCGCAAGAGAAAGCGTGGTTATTGTTTTATTGTTTTCCCACTCTTTTTTTTTTCCCCCTTTTTTTTTTTTTAAAGAGTGTAGAGACTGACCTTGTCAAAGAAAGTGCTATGCAGAAAAAACTTTGAAAGGTGTTTGAGAAGAATTTGTTATGGAGAGTAAATTGGTAAAAGGCTGGTTAGATCTTTAGCGTTAACTTGTAATAAAATTATTATTCAGAGTTCCACTTGAACCTGAGTAGTATTTGAACTTTCCTGAAGTATTTAGGCATTATTTATGCTACTCTAAGGAGCTTAACATGAATATTTAGAGAAATGCATCTCTAATCTCAAGACTCGTTCTTAAGAACTGGCAGCCAAAAGCCATGTTATCAGTGTCGGCGTGTTCCAGGAGGGGCCTGTTCGGTTCCATGTTGGGTTGGCCTATGGCACAGGCTTATGCAGGTTTGATCTAGTTTAATAATGTGATATTCAGGTTTTATACAGGTGAGGCCTATTTATTTTTTTTTTATTCAGAGTATTTGACAGGTGAAGTCTTAAGAAATCATTCTTCTGGATAATTGTAAAAGTATAGCAAACTTGGTTCTGTGTTTTGTATCTATGACAGTTTTTTAAATTAAAGTTTTGCTGAACAGATGTAGAAACTTGAGAAGAGCTTTGCAGTGCCAGCAACTTGAATTTGGGATTGAAATTGGGAATTTCAGTGCTATGAAGGCCTCCTTGCCTGCCCATAAAGCATGTAGCAGCCCAATCTCGTGGTAGGTCCCAAATGCTTGGCTAAGAAAGGGCAACTGGATGCTCATTTTTAATAGGTTACAGTAAGTTGGGGGTGGGGGGGGTGGTGTTCTGGGTTTTGTTTTGGTTTTGTTTAAGTTTAAAGTTCTCCCTACTCTGTATTTTAACAGAAATAATGTCCTACTCTTCTAAAATCCTTGAAGCTTAGGGTTTGTTTTCTTTATTGTTTGAAGAAGGACGGTTTCCTTGAAGTTGAGGCTACGTGGCATCTGCAGAATCCTCTGGATTATGATGTGGAATGTATTTGTTGTAGAATTTCTTAACTTGAATGCTGTGAACTCTTCAAATGTACAGTGGTATTTCACTTGTAAGTTTAGTGATTTTTTTTTTTTTTTTTTTTGAAACAGACCTATTATAAATCTAGTGTCATTAACGTGATTTATCTGTTCTTGCATGTCCCATGAGGAGGTTCTTCATAATCTTGTGGGCTCTGACTTGTTTTCTGTATTGCCTTTGGTTTTCTCCAATTACACCTTGGAAAAAAAGAGAAGCAGCAAAATCTTACTATGTTTTAAACCATCAGTAATTATACCCAACCACATAAATCACATATATAGTGTCTGCTTGCCAGAATACAACAAAAAGCAGATTTTTCTCCTCATGTTCCAAGATAGAACTTGCCTCATCACACAGTCTTTTTTTTCATGAATTCTGTATAGAATCATAGAAAAGTTCTGGTTGGAAAGGACCTAGAAAGATCATCTGGTCCAGCCTTTCTTTACTCTGTTTTATTCAAACGTATGTAAGTTTGTTCTTGCTATATCCTTTTCCTTTTTTGGGGGAGGCATTGAAAAAATTTCAGACCTTAATTTCAGTGACTAAAGAAAGAGACTTATTTTTCATACCAGTCTTGAAGGAAGCCCAAAAGAATGGTTTCTGAGGATTCTTCATTGGATATGTTAGGGTTAAAATAACTTGTGTTGTCCCAGGTATGGCCTTCTGTATTTGTTTGTCCTTAGTAGGTGGCTGGTGCTGTTACCTACTTCTTTTTAGAGTTGTTTAGAACTCTGCTAGACCTATTTTCATACTCTTTGAGTTACCTCTCCAGTTGAAAATAGGGGAAAAAACAATTTCCTGTCTTCATTAAACACCACTTGATTGACAAATTGATTTGCATCAAGCTGAACTTGTGGTAACTAAATTTAAAGTCAATAGCACTTCACCTTAAAGCTGTTTCTTCTGTGTTTAGACTTAACAGTGATCATTTTGAATAACCATATTGATCACATGGTGTTAATTTGGTTGTTCTATGGAAAATTTTTGCACGGGTAAGTGCATAATTTGTGTACAGAAATTGTACCCAGCAGTCTTTTGAGGGAGAATACACGAGCCTCAGGAACCTGATAAAATATAAGGCAAAGTATAAGGAGTTACTGCTGCAGAAATTACAGGTTACACCATGTTGTAAGGCACTGTCAAAGTCTAAATCTATTTTGCTGTTTACAAAGCAGTTCCTGAAACAGTACCATGATACTCTACTAACAGAGGACAGGGTCCTTGAAAAATGGTATTATTTGCTACTGATTCTAAAAGGAATAAAATATGGTTGCTCAAACTGACATTTAAACAGAGATAGCAGGACCTTAATTTGCAATACGTAGCATAGACAGATGGCAGTTATGGTAGAAAGACCTTTTAAAAAATCTTTCTGGTAGAACATAAGGGACTTTTAATTTCCTTGTCTGAGCTGGGTAATTAACGCTAACTGTTGTAAGTGGTATCTGGTAGAATTTAAGGACCTGTGGGTGGCTCGAATGCTATACCTGATTTTAGCAACTCTAGAACATTACATGTTGGATACAGAGGCTTGCTTTGTTTTGCTTTGAATGCTGTGTTTTGTTTTGCGTTGTCATGATAGATTATTGTATAAAGCAGCATCGCTTAAGCAAAACGTGGGAAAAGCTTTTTCATGACTTATCTTGAATGCAGGGGAGTCGTAGAGTTCAGTGCCTAACTACTGCTTTAAATTATTAGGCCCTAGCAGAGCAGGGAGGAGGAATATACTATTGACCTGTAATGCCACTGTGGCTCTGAATTTGGGTATCCAGCGTGGTCCCAACAAATAGCTTTTGAAAACTGCACAGCACTTGCCTAAAGCATGGTTATACAGCTGGGACACGTCAATATTTTGAATGTGCTTCCAGCTCATTTAATTCCCAGCCATGCTGGGTCAGAACTCAGGAAGCATAGAGAGGTGAGAGATTTGTGCATAGAGTTCCTTCCTTCTGTACAGTGAGAAAGATAATAATGTGCTTTAACAGGCTTTTAGTGTTCTACCCTCCTCCCACTTCTGTTAGTTCAGGATGCTAAAGGCAGATGGTACAGTGCTCTGGCACCCCTTCTATCTGTCTTTTGTATATGAAAATTAACCCTTGCAAAATAAATTCCGTGGTATTTTAAGAGCTAATTTGCTTTTCCCTTAAGTAAATTTAACATAACGATTAACAGGGTTTCAAAATACATTGTTGTCAACGCTTTGGATAGCAAAGTAGAAACATGTCAACCTAAAGGTTATTGGCTCTTCTTGATGGTGTCTTGCTGATGTTTTAATTGCTTTGTAGAGCCCGCTACATATTTCAGGGCTTGCATGACTGATAGACTGCTGCAGGCTCAGCACGTCGTTTTAACTGGAGTCCTACTTTGTGCAAAACTGAAAGCAGCACTGAAAATAAATATTCGTAAATTTTAAGAGGATTGATGTGTTTTCTTTAAGTCTGGCCCACATCTTTTGCCCCTGGCTGTTCTAGCCACTTCACAGCAGACCTGCACTTACTTCATTTGATGGTCAAGGCATCAAGGTTTGCGTGGAATTTTCCATGACTGCCTAAGCACTCAGATACATTTGTGGCAGCTCCCATTACAAAGCTGCTCTGCTTTTTCTCCTCCTTACAAAGCATTCTAGAAATAGCAGACAGATGAGCCAGTGTGTTCACTAAATGTGTTTGTATAGTTAGTATTTAAGATAGATTTAAATCCATGGAAGCATCCATTGCTTTTTCTGAATCTTGTAATATTTACAAAGCAAATATATCTTTTAACAGGGGAATATTTATTTCTGTTTAGCTTTCCTGGATATTTTCCACAAACTACATTCCTCTTGTTCTTGGTCCTGGCTATGGCTTCTGCAGTGTTAGTTTGTGAACTGCTCTGATGACAAGGCTGCTGTTGCTGGTGATCTGGGGTTTGTTGTCATACTGGTTTTGTTGTGGGTTTTTTAATTTTGTGCATGTGTGTTCCTGTAGCATTGTACCCTTTTGCTTCAGGTCCCTGTTTCTTGACCTCTGTGCCAGGTTTAAATTCACTTTTGTTCAATCTCAGATGAAAAATATACCATGTCTGCAAGGGTAGGTTGTCATACACTGAAAATAAGAGTAAATGAGAGAAAGTATGTTTCTCAGAGGTTTTTGTTTAAAGGATGCTTCAAAGGCACTGAGAAAAGGTCTGTCTCTCTTATGTTTCTGTCTTCTGAGCCCACAAATACCTGAGTTTCTTATGTCTCAAAACACTTTCCTGTCAAAGGAAAAGTAAGAGAGAAATGCTGTCAGGTGGTTTTGCGTTGCTTTAAATTGAACAGGACAATTTATTGTTTCCGTTGTGGAATGATTCGGTACCAGATCTTCATTGCTGGTATCTGGTCTTTGTGTATGAGCTTGAGTAAAATTTTGATTTGATGCTAGACCTCCCTGAAAATCGTCTTTTCTTCTCTGATAGTATTTGTGCTTTGGACAAGCCTTTCCATTATCATAAGCTTTGTAATCTGGCTGATGCTCTCTCTTTTGGGTTGGGGGGGTTGTCTTGCAGTTGGCTGATTGCGATTCTGGCTCAACTCAACCCTCTCTTTGGGCCACAGTTAAGCAATGAAACAATCTGGTATCTTAAATCTCACTGGCCTTAAGGATGTCTGTCCTCTGCTGCAATTTATTGACTAGGTGAGTATGATCAGATTTATTAATATATTTGGTATGTTAAAGCTTTAGGAGAAATTGAACAGTAGTGTAAGCAGTGTGTTCAGAATTGCTAGGTGTTTTGCAGGAGTAACTTATCTTTTTATAGACTGCAACAAAACATATTTTGGATGTTAATCTTGACTGGATACCGTGAAAAGCTTGGACTAAATTCTTGTACAGTTATTTTTCTCTGCTATCACGTCATGTGGTGCTGTGTTGAGTAAGCAGGAGTTTGTAAGGAGAACAGTACATTTCTTCTTCCTACAAAAAAAAAAAAAAATTGGGCTGGGGTGTCTTTTAATAGCTAGCATAAGTGGATTTCCTAATCTTTAACAATTGTTAAACCTCTCTTCAAGCCTACTACCATTGAATTCAAGACCTGTCCTGATTTCCAAGGCAATGTACAGTTGCCCTCATTCATCTGGGAAGTCAGAGTGAGAACTGCCATTAGAATGGTTCTTTATCTCCTGTCAATGTATAGCACTAACACTCAGCTTCCAGATGAATGTTTTATTTTTTTTTTTAATTATAGCCTGTGTGCAACTTTAATCATAGATGAGCCTGGTGGTTGCTATCTGGGTAGTGCTATTGGAATGCTGTCGTTGCAGTTCTTGGGCATGCTTTCTGACATGACCAGCAAAAATACAAAGTCTTGTACTAAAAGTACCATGATGACTTCAGGTTTCTCTAGAATGGCAGCATTTGGACTTGAAGGTTCAAATGAAGGATAGCTGTGGAAAGAAGTACCCGTGATTTTAGTTTTTATGCTGGTAACTGAATGATTAGACACGCTTAGTTTTTTACCTGGGTTTTTTTTGTCCTTTTAGGTTTAACTGTCTACCCCCTCGCTGTTACTACTTTAACTTCTGTTTACAGAAGTCCAATAGCAGCAGACCGATGGCAGATCATGTTATAGCTCAGTTAAATGCTGTCTGTAAAGCATCCTGAACATTTACCCTGAAGCAAAGTTCCACTGCTTCAAAGTAGGGTTCATCTGAACTGTGGTGGTGTCAGACTGTGGCATGTGTATGTGTCTGTATCTTCTCTTTTAAGCAGCAAGCAGAAGCTAAAGGTAGATTTGGCCCTGCTTCAGTTAGAGGCCTGTAATTAGCTAAGTCAGTCAAGCTGAATTGCCTAGGCATGTTTTCACTGCTCATGTGTTAACACATAATTAGTTAGCTAAAACAGAGACCAGTATATTCTGGTAATGGGCATACAGATCCCTGAATCCCATAGGATAATTCAGTTGCCTGGGATCTGAAATTGAAATGTAGTTATCTGGACAAGTGGATGCCTTGCATATAAAAATTGAGCTCCCTTCTGACTGATAAATGGTCTGTATGTTGCAACCAGCAAGGACAAACTGGAGATGAGACATAACTCTTGGACTCTAGGCGCCCGCTAAAAAAATCAGGGCTTTCTCCCTCCCTTTCAGTGAAGGATTTTCCAGAGAACTGGAGGTAAATTTGTACCAAGGAAGAGAGGGGACTAATGCGTTCTAGGATGGCCAGAAAGTTTGTGAGGAGTTGTCGTTTTTAAACTTATTAATGGAGAAGTTGAGACCTATATAGCACACGCTGTTGTGTTATATAAAGCAGTTTGTTTTAACCTTTGAAATATCTGATTTCATTGGCTTAATTTTGGAATAAAGTGAAGGTTCTTTTCTTTGTGAAAAAGAATGCTTTAAAAAAAGTAAAAGCATATAATAATCCTCCAATATCATAGTTAAATATTACATTCTTTCTTCCTAGAAATGTGCTATTACAGGACATACTGTTCTCCACGATCTTGTTTGAATTACTCTTGTAGTGTTGAGTGGGCTGAGCGGCAAGGAGGTGGCTACCTTGATCAGGCTGCAGTGCCCTGTCTTTTGCTGTTGTGTGCCTCTGCGCTCGGAGCCTCCTGTTGAGTTTCTCACTAGACAGGAGCTGTGAATTAGATTCCATCTGAAAGAGTTGGGGTATATCTCTCTGACACTGCACGGAATCCCATAAATATAGCTACCATTTCTTGTCTGACCCGTTATTTTTGGCTTTTGAGATGTGCTTTTCCAGCACTTAGGGTGCATGTGCTATACTTTTTTCTGCCTCCCATTTCTTTCAGTTGAGGTATGGATGGATTAGTATGGACAATGCAAAGAGTTAAAGCGAAGAGAATGGAATACTAATTCCCAGAGTGGAGAGCTCTTATTTAAAAATGAGGATAGTCTAAGCAAACCCACTTTACTTGACCAACGGAGCAGGCTGAAAATACACGCAGAAGGCTACTGCATTCTAGTGAGGAGCTTCTACAGGTCCTGACTTGATTGATCTATGCCAAATCACAGAAGTTTGGTCTTTCTTTTTGGTCAGTATCCCTCCAAGTCAAGTGACGATGATGTATCGGATGACTTATCTATATAATCAAATTAAGGGCTTGGATGGCAGTATGTAAGAACATGCAAACTTCTGTAGCTGTGGTAAATACGGGCTGTAGCCTCTCAAGCAATGTGATCTAACGCCGCCTTTTCTCCTTAACTTTGTCAATTTACAGTCTGTGTTCTCAGACCAGGAACTTTCTTCATGCAAGCGCAAGAAGGGCTATCATCCAGATGACTGGATGCTGTTACAGCATTGAAAACTTCCTAGTAAAATAGTTGTTCTACCAGCTTATAATGTAACTAAAACTACTTGCAGTAACTTCAGAAAGGAAACTGCTAAAAAAGCAAGAAAGTAGAGACTATTCTTGAAGCTCCATATAGATGAATTATCTACAGTTCTTCACCATTTCTCAGTGCGTTTGTGGAATGGAAATAGTTGTGGTTAACAACCAGGTCTTCAATTAGTAAATTGTCTCCATGGAAAGGAATAATTAAGTTGCCTCTTGCTTTGCAGGTAAAGAAGAGATTTCCTCCAGATGAAAAACTCCACTGACCCAAAGATGCCCTTAACATAGTTGGTTGGATACCAAGCCTGCGTTAATGCCTTAACCTTTCTATTGTGCTTCAAATGGCTTGTTCAAAGCCCTATATTTTTTTCCTACTATACTGTTTAGCAGTGTGCCTAATGCAATTTATACTTCTCTTCGGTACTGTAAATTTTTGCCTGTTAACTTCAGAGGTGGTGAAATTTTCTAAAGTTTTTACGGGTCATAGAGTCAGCTTTCCTGTTCATTTTACTTGCTCTGTAGGAACACTATATATCTTACAGGTCTTAGGTTGTTGCTGTGCTGTTCGCTCCTGTTCTGTTTGACTGCACTTGAAAAAAATGTGTGCAATGAAACTGTACGAGGAGAGGAGAAACAGTGGCGCCACATGTTGATGGCATTTATTTTTTAAAATGAGTTGTATTCTTGGGAAATTTGGTCTTAAATTTCTCATGCCTGGAAATAAAACTAATCCTCTGCTTTATGCGAAATGTCCTTGTGCCATGTTTAACTGTTACGATGTGCTTTTTTGTGGTTTTAATCAGACAATAGTTAGCCAGAGCTGAGCTGAGGAAACTTAGATGATGTGGGTAAACTGTAATAAAGTCATACAGGGTGATGCGATGAGCACGCTTGCTGCCTGTATCAAGACCTCTTGGGCAGTTCTAAAGTAGGACTAAGTTTAGAATCTAAAATTGCTGAAAGGTCTGCAGGAAGAAGTGAATGCTTAGCTCGAGAGCCTCTTCTCCCTGAACTTCCCATTGCCTGATACTAGGGGGACTCAGTAGCAGAGGTAACCTGACTCATTTGAATGAAGCGTGAATAGTAATTTTGATAGGAGATTGATCTACTCCCTGGCCTTTTGGAGGATACATATAGCAACAAGCAATTTGAATTGAACAGAAAACATAGCAGTTGTTTTATACTGACTTGACACTTGCATGTGAAATTGCAGACCTGATGAAGCACACGACAGTGTGGGCCAGAGATGAAAGATTGCTGAGGCTCCTCAATGTCAGCCGAGTCCGTGGGGTTGGGAATGAATCTAGTAAGTCACTTGCTAAGGAATAGCTTCAAAGGCTATAAATACTGCTGTGTGCACAGGAGTCTTCATGTATGCTTTCTTACCTCCTTACATCATGTCCAGATAAATTGCAATTATTCCTTACTGTGTTTTATTGTTACGCACAAGGATGTAACGGAGCGGTTCATTTTTTTTTTCTTTTTCCTTTTGGATAGCACTGTTAACTTGTTCGATGGGATAGTACTCATTACTATACAGGAAATTCCGAGATTCTGACAAAATGCTGTAACTTGCGGTGATGGAAAACTGGACAGCGTGAATTGCAAAAGAAATAAGAATGTGTCCATTATTACAGATAAGCATAGCGACTGTTGGGACTGGAATAGTGGATTTTTTTCCAAGTTACTACTGAGAGCTGTATTTTAACATGCGAGAAGTTGTACACCGTAATGCTATATAGTCTGTGGCAAATAATTCCTAAGAAAATTGGAAACCAAATGATCTTATAAAAGCTGAGGTTGTTGTCTGGTGGTTGTTTTTTTTTAAAGCGTGTGGAGGATAATATGTGTTGACATCGTATGAGGAGGGGAGGAGTAATGCTTCAAGACATCGCTGACAATTTTGAGTATGTAACAGTTTTTAAACTATATTGATCTGCCTGTCATATTTACCCTAAAGTGAGACATCAAAAGAGAAAACATGCAGTGACAAACAGTGGTATTAGTATATTCGTATTACCACTTTCTTTAACAAGCTTTCTATTTTAGGTTCTAAGCTATCACTCATTGTAGAAGATGCAGGAGAAGTAAAACAGCATTCACATGGCGTGTTTCACTGTTGGTGAATTTAATGTAAAGAGCTATTCAAAGCCTGGACAAACAAGTCATAGTTCAATTTTTATGTAGGTGTTTTAAAGATAAGTTTCCCTTTATCCGAATGGTTAATATTTTCTCCGAAACAGATACCAGGCAGTAGCATGACTGAAGAAGTTGAAAAAATAACGTTTCTGTTCTGCGGAGTGTTGTGTGGCCTACTGTCTGCATCGTGATTATGGGATGGTCTGCTCCATGTGTGCCAGGAATTAACACTGCTTCAGATAACTTCTTTTTTTGCATGGCTGCAGGAAATTAGAGCAGACAGATTCAGGCACTGGTTTTTCACAAACAATGCAGGTGTCAAAGCCTTTAACAGTTTCCTCTTGCTTCGTGACAACAGAAGAGAATGCAAAATGTTAAAGTATACGTGAAGGAAGCTTGCTAGTGCTTGAAATAGATAGAAAGCCTGGGTCTGCAGGGAAACGGCCTGATCTCCCTATGTGTACTGGTATTTTGGGGGGAGGTAGGGAGTGAGGAAGGTTAAGGAAATGGACTCCATAGTCAAGTCTTGAAGGCTTTAAGTCATAAACACTGGCAGCACGTAGAGGGAGTGTTTAGGTCAGGGTCATTTCAAATGCTTTTAACTTCTTCTGTTCGTATTGTTTAGGAAATGCCCGCATCTGTGCCCCTCGCAGGAATTGTTCTGAACAGCTTATGGAAGTTTGCTTTTCCTCTGCTGGAAATCATGGAAGCGTTTTACCCGTGCAGAGGGCTTTAATTTAGTTGTCAGAGGTGGGTGGCTGCCTTCGCTTTACGAAGTCTCTGGGGCAAAAAAATGTGGTGGTTTTTTTTTCCTTTGTATTGTCAGGCGTGATGGATTTTAGGTACAGTGGAAAGAAGTTTTGTTACCACAGAGGGCTGAAATGCAAAAAGTCGTCTAAACAATAAAAGAGATACTCCTTACAAATACTAAGATAAAAATGGCTGGGTCTCTTTTTTTTTTCTTTTTTAATTAGTAATTTCTCCAGTTCTGTCTTAAGTGATGGAGGCCGAGGTCTGTCGCCGTGAAAGGGGGCTGTGTGTGTGGCTGCAGGCGGCGGCAACAACACAAAGCCGCAGGTAGCAGACGAACGGACGAAGGCGGTAAGTGCGG